TCCTATTCCTTATATCTCGTACTGACCTACCTCAAATTTTTTAAATTTGAACCTAATAAGCGTTTTATAATTTCTTTTAGCTATTATAATCACACATAAAAAATTTAATTAATATATAATTATAGTAATTGAAATATATAAATTTAATTTGGAGTACTTGATACGCAAAATAATTTCTTCGATAGAATATTTCATCTCAAGCAAATTTCGAATAAGACATCTTATTTTAAACAAAAAAAATATATCGAACTTGATACTGATTTGATTAAAAAGATGAACATCTTTGATTAAAATTTCCAATTGGTCTTTTAATGTCTTATCAAACTCTTGTGTTGATTCAATAATTACAATTGTTTGACATATTTCAGTTAAATTTTTAAGAGTATTTTAATTAAATATGTAACAGTATTTATATATTAGATTGTAATCATATATGACAAAAACCATTCATACATCTTCCTTCATCTTTTTCTTCACAGTCATTATATTCAAGAAATCTTCATAAGAAAATTCACCAGTGTTCTCTGAATCAATATCTGCTATCAGTAGTCTCTTTAGTTTCTCTTTTTTGTTGGTTCAATGCCTACAGCTCAAATAGGCAATTTTTCCAGTGTCATCAGGATTAAACAAATCAAAAATCTTCTTTTATATATCTGTTTCCCTTTCTTTTATTAGCTCGATTTTTTCTTATTTCTCCTGCGAATAACATCTCAGTTTTTCCTTTCAAATGTCAATGCCTGTGAAAAAGAATTTTATTGTTACAAAGATCATCCTTAAACAAATAATGCATAATATAATTCCTTAAATACATAAACAAAGATTGCTTATATACATAATAATATACATAATTTTGATCTGACAACGAAGGCGACATTGCATATTATTTACGCATATCGGAAGATAAAATAATTAAATATGACCATTGATACAAACATTACCATTAATAAACTTTAAAAAGATAAAACAGGACAATGTTTTCAGAAATTTACAAGTATTTTGATACTGTTAAAACCAATTGAAAGTATGAAGTATCGTATAATCTTATCAAAGCTAGAAACTCGACTATTAATATTTAAAAAATAAAATATAACATTTGGCGTTTTATATTTTACAACAAAAAACTTTCCAAAAACCTTAAAAAAGACTTATGAATCATTTAAGAATTTTACGAGCACTCCAACACTATCAAAAATAATCTAGAGGCCAAAGTAAGCATGTAGAGAGTATGTTAAGGTTATCCGTTGGAACGGTCCGAAACGCTCTATTTTAGCCGGGATTTTCAAGATTTGTTAATAGGAGCACATGATGATATAAGAGGTCGCTCAAGAATCAACTAGACGGAGGTGTGTCTTGGCGTCCCTAGAGGTCGGCAGAGAAGAACCCTAGACAGTGGAGAGCCCTCGTCGGATTGGCTGTTGCACTTGCATGGCTTCTATGGCAACAGCCAATCAAAAAAGGGCCTTTAGTCACTCCTTCATATTGCCATGGCGGCCATTCCAAGAGCAACAGCCAATCCAAAGGGGGCTCTCCACTGCTTACACTCCCCTCTGCCGAGCTGCAGGGACGCCAAGACACACCTCTGTCTAGTTGAGCGACCTCTTATATCATTATGTGCTCCTATTAACAAATCCTTAAAATTCCGGCTAAAATGGAGCGTTTCGGATCGTTCCGACGGGTAACCTTAACATTTCTATATGCTTATTTTCGCTTCTAGACTATTTTTGACAGTGTTAGGATACTCATAATATTCTTAAATAATTCATATGTCTTTTTCAAGGTTTTTAGAAGATATTTTATTGTAAAATTGGAAATGCCAATATTAATATTTTGTTAATTAAATATTAAAAAAGTCGAGTTCTCAGCTTCGACAAGATGATTATATGATACTTAATTACATCTGAATTGGTTTTAACAGTATCAGAATGCTTGTAAAACTCTAAAAACATTTCCATCGTTTTGTCTTATCTTTTTAAAGTTTAGTAATGTTAATGTTTATTAATATTAATTATTTTCATCTTTTAATATGCGTAAGTCGAAAAAAACATGCAATTTTGTTTTTATTGTCGGTTCGATAAGAATGAGATAGAAAGAACAGCAGTACATCTGTTATCTTTTATTATTCAAAGCCAACCAAAGTACAGTGCGCATATATACTCGTTCTCGATTACGTGCGTTGCTTCTACCAGGTCACTTCCACGGTTACTCGGGGCCGCGTTTCCATTCTACCATCAATGCTAAAAAGCATGTCTCTAGTCTATCCAGACTGTTCCATGTGATGAGTTGTGCTCTCACGAATATAGAGATATTGCATTTTTACCTTGTTCGTAGTCACACACAGTTACGCGTATTTCTTTTTATTTATTGAAAATAAAAGTACGAAAAGCGAAGAAAGTATCGACAAAGATACCCAGTGCCTGCAATACATGTTGTTGAATACATTTGATGTTAAGCAGGAATATCTATCTGCAGAGAATACAAATGTGAACATTCTGATGCGCATCTTTGCCAGGCAGTGTGCAATCGTAATGGAAGCTGGCGGAAGCTCAAGTAGTGGCGATTTAGCAAGCGCTTGTACAAAGTCGACGGGCGCCTGAGCTACAAGTCGGATTCATAGATGTATAATGAGAATGGGATTACTGCAATGTGGCGACGATGAATCGCGTTAACAAGTGCGGCCGTGCGCGACCGTACAGTTTAAGTTTTATTGTAGCGCCGGAAGCAAAATCGACCGGCGCGATCGCCCTTCCGAGGCGTTGTCACCGTATTCTCTGACGATCGCTAGAACGAACGTCGCTAACAAACTTCTCTTCGCCCTGCAAGGGACGCGACGCGAGAAAATCGGCTTCTCCGACATAGGCTCTTTGACAAGCATCACCGACATGTGCCAGACGAGCGGACAAGCGAGTCATCGCATCGGTAGTCGTGTGCACGGTTCCGTCAGCTGATCGTTATTAAACAACGAGATGTGAGATCCGTCGCTCGTCTCTTTCTACGTCGTGCCACAACGTACGATTTCGCGATTCCGTTTGCCGCGACCTGATTACCCTCCGCATACATTAAGACTGAGAAAGTGTGACCGGAGTGTGTGTGACTCGCGCACGAGGCGGGGGGAGCACTGAACTACGGTGGAAATTTACATGGGAACATGGGGAACAAGAATAGTTGTTGCGTTTACTCCAGTCCGCAAGCTGGACGCAAGGAAGTTGGGCCTGAGAATGCCACGCGTAATCTGGAAGAGCATCTGCCGGAGGGTGGGATTAGCGTGAACAATTTGCAACATATCAGTGAACGTGAGCCGGAAGACTGGGACTCTGATCCGTCACTGCATCCATGTGCGGGAACTATTTTTATGGAACGTTCAAAGCAAGCTATAGAGAGTGAGTATCTGAATAATTGCAGAATGATCGGAAAGATTGGATTACTGCTAACAAGTGTGTATCCCTTTTAATCTGTTTTTAGATGGCATGGTGAGAAAGAAGAGCCAGCATCAAATAGCAGATACAAGGCCTTTGAAAAAGAGTAGCAGTTGCAGTACAATATATCTAGATGACAGTACAGTTTCACAACCTAATTTGAAGAATACCGTCAAATGCGTTGCCTTAGCTGTTTATTACCATATTAAGAATAGAACTTCACAGCGACAAATTGATATATTTGATGAGAAACTACACCCGTTAACGGTAATTTAAAAGAAAGGAACTTGTATATTAGTTGCCTTAAACTAGCATGGACCTCTTTGCATTATTTTACTCTTATACTAAATTGGCTGAAAACATGCATATTTTTATTGGTACAGACAGAATTGAATGCAAGTTAGTGTAATTCTGAAATATATTTGACCTGCAATATATTATAAAATAAGATTTGAACACTGAATTTATGTTTCAGAGAGATGGTGTTTCAGATGATTATGATAAACATAATCCAGAGCACAAACAAATATATAAGTTTATAAGAACTTTGTTTAATGCTGCTCAGCTCACAGCTGAATGTGCCATCATAACTTTGGTTTATCTTGAACGCCTACTCACTTATGCAGAGATAGACATAACGCCAGCCAACTGGAAACGGATAGTATTAGGAGCTATTTTGTTAGCGTCTAAGGTTTGGGATGATCAAGCAGTATGGAATGTAGATTACTGTCAAATACTGAAAGACATCACGGTAGAAGATATGTAAGTTCCTTTTCAATTGCATTGCTTTAGATAATCATTGCATTTGATTGTTTTACGCAAAGAAAAGAACATCAAAGTGTACTAAAAATACAAGTAGGAGTGCAAAAGTAGTTATTCTTTGTATTAATTAAATTTTTTTATAAATTCCCGTTCTAGGAATGAATTAGAAAGACAATTCCTGGAGATGCTGCAATTCAACATAAATGTTCCTTCAAGTGTATATGCCAAATATTACTTTGACCTTCGTACACTTGCGGAAGCGAACGAATTAACATTCCCTAGTGAACCTCTTAGTAAAGAAAAAGCGCAGAAGTTAGAAGCTATGTCCAGAGTTTACGAAGATAAAGTTACAGCCGAGGCTCTACGTACTGGTATTAAAAAGTGGTCCAGCTTGGATAACGTATGCATAGGTGGACCTAGACGTAGCATCGCTATTTTATCTTAAATATATACGGATATAGATGGACGCATGATAAACTGTTCAGACTTTAAATAGAGGTATGTGGAATTTTGTAAGAATATCATTGTTACCGATCGATTTTAATCATTTTGAAAGAAATTGTTTGAGTCGCCAAATATTTGTGTTACACATTTATCTTGCGTTATTATTTAATTATTGTGGAATATTTGATGTATCATATACATCTCTACAAACTGTTTTTATACGTTGTTCAAGCTAGATATAAAAATATCGCATATACCGTGTGTGTATTGCTATGTACTACAATGGAAAATTTTCCATCGCAGATTTGGTTTGCAATAGCAATCGTGAATCTAATCATCAAGTAATTTTAAAATTTAGGCAGTTTTCAATTTAATATTACTTTGCATACATTATATTTTTGTCGTCTGAATTAAAATTTGAGAGACACTCCAATGTAGAAAGTTCTAAATTGGCCTTTTCTAATCATAATAACTTCTAATCGCTTAGATCAATCACACTGTGTTTTCTATCACTAATTACGGAAAATTAGAAATCTTGTTTGTCAGTCAGATCTTATTTGTCAATCAATATTGATATATTTCTATTTCTTGTGCACAAACTATTGTCTCTTGGGACCTTATAATATGGATTATAATAAAGCATATACGAGAATGAAGTGCATTTTGATGAAGTAAAGGGTGAAGAAAAAAAGTTTTAGTCGTAATTATCTGTACTGTTTTTAGGAGAGAAAATAACTTGTGATATATATATTAGTCAACTATTCATTATCCAAAGCATTTTACATATTGACTGAATTTAATAAGAATCAAACATACGGCTGATTTACTAATAACATTCTTTGAGAAGCGAAAACATATACAACATGCTTCAAACTGAAATCATCGATATTCATAAAAATATATGCTACATAATTTATCAAAATACTTCAATTAGAAAATTTTGCAAGCCAAAGCTGTAATGCATATTGAATGCGTATCTTGGTATATATGTCCAAATTATATTTAAATGCATTAATATATCTTTTATTTGCGTATTTCGCTGTCGTATACACATCGAAAGATTGTTATATGAAATTGTGGATAATTATTATGAATTTAGTAGATGAATTATATACATAAACTTTTTTAAGATAATATCCTTACACTATCTTCTGATATAAATCAAATATTGCATAGCATATATGTAATAACTTATATGAGAAAAATTGTCGACACTTAATTGAATATTGGACAGATGACTTATGTATTTTGAATAATAGTAAATATATATATATATATATACACACACAGCAAGAACACCATTTATACGTAAAGTAAGTATATAATAGCGTAAACACACATTAGCAAATCAGCCTTTATAACTTATTAGGAATTTAAGGCACAAGATAAATTTTAATTTGAATAATATTGCTTTTATATGGCGTTACTTCCATTAATTTATAACTTTAGATAATGTGTGAGATAAGAATAAGCCATGAGTGATATCAGGGTTGCATTCTTCTCTTTATAAAATTATATTCAATTAGTTGATAATTAAATTTGATTTGTAATCATAACTTTCTCTATCGGACTCATTGGAAGAAAAGGTTTGTTCCAAGATCTCGTTCATTTTTACTATTTTTCACAAATATTACAATATACTGTATTGTTATATAGATACTTTATCTGTATATATACACATATGTTGGATAATTATTCATTAATTTCATGTGCATAATTCAGAGTCACAAAGTGGTCATATTTATATGGCCATAAGTATTGCTATGTGAAACATTCAAATCTAACAGCGATATATGAATTATTTCGTGAAACACGTAACGAAATCTTCCAAAGATCATCGAGATACGCTCACTGGAAAAAAGGAAAAAATCACTTGTATCATACTTGTATCATCATTTCCCATTACGTGATCAAGGTCAAATTGAGTACCATTAATGTAATCGTGTATCATACGCCACTAACTGACTTATGTACGATATAATTTAAAATATTTTGTACCCTCCTACCGGTTATATATTATATAGAAGTTTAAAATTATATAAGATAGTCCTATCGTATCGACTGGTTACGTCTATAAGGATTAAAGTGTAATCTGAAGTTCCGTTGGATTTTCAGAATGTCGTTACGGAAAGAGCAATTACGATTTATTATTATTTTTATATTTTATTACGCAAAAGAGGAGAGAGTCAAAGTATTGTATTAGAGCGCGATTGTTAAGTCTGATGTATGCGTGAAGAAGCGAAATACATTTCTCAGCTTTTAAATGTATTGTATAGTGTACCGAAATGGTAAGCGTAGTGTAACATATCTACAATTTCTGTCCAGATTACAGTCTTTTATTTAGCTATCCGATTTATAAAAGTATATTTTTACTGCATCACGCGAAATAAAGCATTATTACATACATGCTGCGGAAGTATTTATACAATGTAAGTGAGCAATACACCGTGCGATGCCAAAATGTTATTAAAATTATATTGTATAGACTATTGCACACGCAGAAAAAGGAAATGTGTACTGCACTGCAGTTTTTATTCGTCTTACGCTCCGTTTCTCTGATAAAACTAAATCTTTATAAATTTTCACACGCATGACTATTTTTATAAATAGAGATTCATTATGAAGACAATCTTCGAGTCTTATTGCGTCCTGTAAATAAATTGCCGAATTAATGTGAGATTCATAACTGTGTATATGATAAATCGAACTACTTTGTCGGAGTAATCACTTGACAAAGAGCAAAAAACATTTTACGCTTGAAGGTGATGTTTTTGAAAGATCGCCTTTGAGTCTTCCATCCTAGCGTCTGCATAGAAACCTACGATTCTTCAACTCCGTATAATAAGTATTATGTTAACATATTATGACCAATGCTTTTGTAATATGAATTTGTGATAAATAGCTATACTAATATATTAATAATTGTTTTGCATATATATACCTGCATAACACGCGCCTGTCTATTTTCATTGTAAACTATTTTATTGCTGATAACAGAGGCAGGTGTTGTAAAGATATCTGTCGCATTTTTTGTGTTTAATTAAAAAAATCTCATTATTATTCATTTTGCCTACTATATTAAAGGACTATACTAAAGTTGATGCTATCACACAACCATGTCATCTTCTCGCATTGATCTTGCATGCAAAATGCACATTTGTCCCTTGGGGATTATATAAATTACTTGTGTGCTTTTTATTTTAATGCTGTAAAAAAATTGTTCTGTTCTTCATGATTAAAATAATAAAAGTACAAAATGCGTTCTGAATGATTTATTTGACGCTACTAGTGTATTCATCGGTTGATAAATACATATTGATATTATAATAACATCCCGTTTTCACTTTCATATTACATGATACAACATAGGTTTTCATAAAACGAAAGAGGAATCTACAAGTTATCTATAGAAACAATAGGAAGTACGTTTTAAATTAGGAATAGAAAAATTACCTAACTTAAACAACAGTACATTAATCGAACATTAATTATTAAACTTATATATCTTGCACTTTTTACATTTGCATCACAAAATATAGAAAGTAATCACATCCATAGAAAGAAATAAAATATAAATTGTAGCATTGCAGTCTTTCCGTGCTAATTATTATCGTTACGTAATCTGTCAAGGTTAATAATCGATTGTGATAAAAACCTTATTACCATACATCACACATTGTATATCTTTTCTTACTATTTTTCGAAAAGAAGTCATTTTGGGCAAATCACAATACTTATATTATGTTTTAAGGTGGATATACGCTGAGTGAGCGCCAACGCATCGTGAATGAACGGCGAATGTGAATTTTCGCTGTTAAAATTCGGATACGCGTATATTAACAAATGCAAATGAAATGTTTGTTTGCATCGACTTTAATTGCATTCGACTTGATTCACTCGAGAGATAATTATACCGAAAAGTACGCAGGACGGAAATACTGCCATTCGCCGTTCACTCTAAATCCGCACGTAATTTTATTCAATATCGTGTACACTTTGATCGCGTATAACTCTCGTATAACGATATCGTGCATCGTCCTCTTTTCTACATCTTTTATTTCACTAACTAACAATTGCGATATACAATCACGATAAACTCATATTTATAATAATCGTTTTATTACATCGTTTGCATCTTAATTGTGTGCTACAGCAGTTTCAAAAAATTCAATTTATGTGAAAAACTTGTACTATATATATACTATATATGATACTACATATATAGTATAAGTTATATATGTGTGTATATATGATATATATAGTTATGTCGCTTCTATACAAAAGAAAAATAATTTACTTTTGTCAGAATTATTAATACTGGCATTCCAATAATGATTGTAAACGGTGGCAAATTTTTACAAATATTGTTGCGAATTTTAAACCAATATTTCATGGAAAAAAAAAAATTCTTCTTAAAGAATCTTTTTTTTCTTTCTCTTCTTTCTAAAAAATATATAAATATTTAATAAACTGATAAATATTTGTAAAATCACGTTTTTTTATATTTTTTACATAATGCAACTCTAGAAATTATAGAAACAATATATTTTAACATATATGTAGAAGGCCATGCCAGAATTCTGAAGCTTAAAAATTTCATCAATATACCAGTGAATCCATAATCGATTACAAAAGAAAATATAATTATACTGTTTAAAAAATCATTGATTTTTTTTAAGCTAGTGTGCGATTAGCGTAAATTTCCTAAGTTTTCCGATCATTTGGAGGAAGGAAGAAGATGCAGCAGAGATCCTATTCCTTTTCCCATTAATTGGCATTTGTTTATATATGGCGAGCACCAAATCTAGCCAGATGTGAATTGTAAACGCAAAAAAAAAAAAGAAAAAAAAGACCAACATTCCAAACATTCCAAAATTTACATTTATTGCTGGTTGTTGTTCATTCGTTCAACGTATACCAACCTTAGTGCATACAATACATTCATTTTGTAAAGCATCGTTTATAATGCGAGGAAACGTTTACTTCCATCTCCATCTATTACGAGCGCAGAATCACTGTAGAATATTCAACTGCCCGGTATTCGTAGCATAAACCATTCCTTGACCCGGCTGTGGGGCCCATCTAATGCAATTTAGACTGACGTAACCCGAGGTCTCCCGACTGCTTTGCAACAATTCTCGAATAAGAGCCATACTTTCCCTGTTAGGTTTAATGTCCAAATCGTTTCGAATTCGCCAATCTCGATTGTGCGATCTATAATTGCTGACTGTAGCGTTGCTTCGTCGCATAGTACTGTTATTTATTGAAATGTTATCGTCAAGTATCTCGTCGGAGGAATCGTATGCCGACTCCACGGTCGAATCGGTTGGTGAAACCTTCTCGTTAGGTTGTTTCTCCTTCAGCTTGTAGATTAGAGCCATCGGGAAAGGTCTCGCAGGAACATGAATCCTACGTGCCAAACCCACCAGGAGATGCTGTTGCGTAGGTGATATAGAAACAGACACTACTGTTTGATCGATCTTGGTGGAATAAATTCTTTCGCCCAGCGTTTCCCACTGCAGACTATAAATACCTAAACCGAAACAATAAACTGCATTATTATCATTTATTTATTACATTATATTTACTTTACAAATAATGAAAAAATTGCGTGAAAAAAAAGAATTCTCAACATATTCATTTGTTATTTTAATAGTATTAATTTTTGGGGAAAAATTATTATTTAAAAATATTTGTTTTCAGAGTTATCAACATATAAAGATATGGTATATAAAAATATAGAAACTTTTACTTCAAAAATAAAGCTTGATGATATGTATATATATTTATCTTTGCTTGCTTACCTAACATAGTCGTCATATTGATACGACCCGACGATGGCAGAAGTGTTGCCAGCAATTTTCCGTCCGCAGATATGTCGATACTGGCATCATTATGAATCTTACATTCGCGTACCACAACATTTTTCTCGGCTGAAATAATCATATTAACTCGATAATATATATACATGTAAGTATGCATATGTGCGACATGAAACATGTACCTATACGTGTGTACATAATATATAAAAAAGTGTGACGATTTATATCTTTGGCATTACTATATTTTACTCACAGTCTGTAATATCAGGTATATCTCCATTTGAAAAATCCCACGCTTGAACGCGATAACTCTGAATTTCCAGCGCTGAATTGAATGACATGCCAGTGGGTAAATGAAAAAAAGTAGGTTCTAAAAAAACAAATTTATAATTTTTAAACATATGTGTGAAGGTACAAGTTTCACATTTGTACGAAAAAAAATCAAAAGTCAAAAAAGTTTGATTACTTAAACGTCTCTATATTTCTTTATACTTTTCCTAGTATATGTCCTGCTGTACTTCAACTACAAGAAAATTGATTTTGAAAATAAAGAATTAAAAATATTTTTTACCATTTTGAATTTTCCATAAAACTGACACTAAATTCAATATTTTATTTAAAAAAATAGAAAGTATTTAAAGTTGTCGAAAAAATTATTCATAAAATATATTGTCTTTATATTTTTAACAAACATAAAATATTATATATTTTTCATGTTCTATAAGTTAAAATGTTATTAATTTTCTTCATCAAACTGAAAGTTAAAAATAAAGTTTCGTACATGAAAATATTATTCTGCTTTTTTTATCTATTGTACTTCTTTTTTTAATACAAAAATAATCTCTTCCCGGTTATGCCGTCAATAAGTATATCATTATATATAAGTATATATTCCAAAGTTAAAAAAAGGAGATAAGTACCATTACCGATGGTCCAATAATCATTATCATCATTTTCTGGATCTTGTCCTCCCGCTTGTCTTTCTCCTCTTCCTCCTCCTCTTTCTCCTGCTCTTTCTTCACTTTCTCTTTCTCTTCCTCTTCCTTCTCCTCTTCCACCTCTTCTCCCAGCACCAGCAGCACCATCACCGCCGTCACCGTCACCATCACCATCATCATCACCTTCACCATCACCATCACCATTACCATTACCATTACCATCACCATTACCATCACCATCACCACCTCCGCCGCCTCCGCCTCCTCCGCCTCCTCCACCGCCTCCTCCTCCTCCTCCTCTTCCTCCGTTTCCTCTTCCTCCTCCTCTTCCTCTGGCTCCATCGTCACCACCATCGTTGCCACCATCACCAAGATTGGCACCAGTACCTTCTATATTCCATGCTCCTTCAGGATAACGAAGAAAAGGAGATGCAAACCGATTGCGCCATAATGCTAGGAACGATGGAGTCAACATCTGATTCAACAGATAATAGCACTTGTTATATAAAGTATATCAAAACACCTAAAATTTTGCACAAATAAGCATGATGATAATAATTGATTAAGCAACGATTTACAAACTAATCTAAAGAAGCACAAACGTTATAAAACTTATACTGCACCCGACTTCTGTTGTTATTCGGCTGTGCGGCCCAACTGGGACCAGGTTGATCTGTCGAGTCACTCGTCCAATCGTTGTTTCTACCATCATTGTTATGGATGAGATTGTTGAGATTAGGTGAGATCAGGTATGGCGGAGGTGTGTGCGGCGGTGTCGGTGGCGTGTTTTGTCGTCTTCGGAGATTAGCCGACAGATTCTCCAAATCGTGCACAGTCACAGGCACACTGTTCACTTGCAATTCGGGAACGTTGAACTCTCGTCTTAAAGACGCGCCCTCATTGCTGTAGGGAAATCTGCGGCTCCCAGGTGCGCCAAATTCGGATGTGCGCAGAGGACGCACAATCTGGCGAAAGGACCACCGAAAAAGGGAACGATCTCTAATGAGAGATCTCGGATACGATTGATGCGAAGATCTGCCATTTTGTTCATCACCCGATGAGGTATAAGTGACGGTCCGCCAATTCGTTCCAACGTCGCTTTCCTGTGTGTTTCTCGCTTCGTTGGCGCGTCGCACCGTCGGCTCGGATACCGTGGCGTTTCTGTGATTCCGCCGATAGCTCTCATTTGAGTTGCGCGTATCGCTAGCGGCGTCGATCGTGCGATTCTCAACTCCCATTCTAATCTCACTGTCATTGTCGATCGAGCCGCCGCTTTGAATTCTTTCCACGATACTCTGCACTTCCGCCGACAAGGCGTTCTCGGAAATTGACTGTCGATTATCTTCGTTTTGAGCATTGTAGTCGGAATTGTTGTCGTCGCCGTTGTCACTAGATCTAGTTACTACTGAATTACTAGTCTGACTTCCAGATGACGTGTTAACGTTTTCCGTTTCCCGGTGATGGCAAAATAGTTGTTTCAATTGTTGCGCCATGCCACGGTAACGCCTGTTCCTGTGTATAGAGAAGAGATCCTCTGCAGTTTCTCGATAAGTCGCGCCAGATACACTCGGCGTATCGCGGCTTCTCGAGAACTTCTCCCTGTTCGTGTTTCGCCTTCCCGTGTTATCATTTGCGCGATTACTTTCCGTTTGCAGACTATTGTCGACGCTGTCATTATTACGCGTGTCTCCTCTGTTCTGATTGTCGACCGACAAATCAGGAGTAAAAGGTCCATATTGACTAGATTCCAATTCGCGTCTTGTTATTACTAGCTGTGCTAGCAGCAAGTCTGTTAATTCCAATGCCAGATGTAGCAGTACATACATTTCTGAGAAAAACAGAAATTAATATAAGTTAGCAACTGGGAAGTAAACAATTTTATGTAAAAAAAAACAAACAGAAATTTTTCACATAGAATTATCATTTTTCCATTTATACCACGAATACAATTAATAATCTTATATAACATATGATAAACTTACTGTACATCTGTTCGTAGAGAACATTGCTTTGGGAGCCATTCCCTGATTTTGTTACTTCGAAGAATTGAATCAAAGATCTTACCATCAAACCGAGAACTTGTCTGGAACAATATCAATTGGTAATTGGATTAACAAATTTTGGAGATAGATGTTAATACAAACATCTTGAGAGAATAGAAATTCATGTTCTGCGATACTAAGTTCATTTCAATTTATCGGTCCAGTTGTGTCACGCTCTATACAATAATATAATTCATAAATTATTTTTTACCTAGCTCTTAATCTTGTAGCTTCACGAATCTCTTCCATTTCGCGATTATCATTTTCTCTGTTGGTTTCCGATTGATGACTATCGCCGTTCAATCCTCTATTAACATTGCTGTTTCGTGCTAAAGCTCTCTGCTGTTGAACGAGCCATTCCAGTCGTAGAATCATTTTTTGCAAATACTCAGACGTGTTCGAGCTTCGCATTCGATTCCGAACATCTATATCCATGTCCAAATAATCATTGTTACTATTGTTGTTATTCTGGGTTGCATTCCTGCGTAAATGCCACGGTCTTCTGACATGCTCGCAATGACGAAACGGATTATTGGTGGATTGAGGTCTAGGACTCTGTCTTGTGCAACGATGCGATCTCGATGACCATAGCTTTAAGCGTCTGGAAAACCAAATATGTCGTCAAATGATTGATTGTGTAAATTATTATTTAGATACATATATTAGTATAGTGTGCTTCATTTGAGCATTGACGTAACTATTTTTAAATAATAAAAATAGGAAAAAATCTTCAAACAAAAATTACTTTATCGTTAATACTTGTATCAGTCACGCCAATATTGTGATTTAAATTAAAAATTATTTGTTTTTATATTTTTCCCAGCTAAAGCCTACTTTAGATAATTTGTAATTTGTAGCAGATTTCAAGATACTTATACTTTTTATGTACGTCATAAAATAACGAAAACGTTTGAAAAATTAGAATATATATGTACATAGAAAATACATATCGCTGACGTTGGAATTCTTCAAATATTTTCTATTACAAAAAATTATAAATAGATTCTCGAGTTCTGTCGCGAATTTAATTAGTTCGTCTAAAGCGGATTTTAACTTTATTATTAAACTTTAAAAATAAACACATTGTATCATTCTAGGAATATACATAAATACCTGAGATACATCTTCTGCCTACAACGAAGTCTGCTAGAATTACTGTTAGACGATTCGGATGACGATGGGGAAGCTGAACTCCCACCTTGGTTCACCGAATATTGCGTAGTCGTGGGACTGACATTATTCTGATCATTGCCGCCGTTGTTGTTATCGGTTGAGACGCCAGTTGCGAGATAATCGGTATTCGCGTGCGACGTTTGAACGGATCCATTGGAGTCGACACGATCGATACCGGTAACGAAACTCGAGATGCTGGGTAACGGTTCCGATGACTCCGTCGTCGGTGTTGTTATCGCGGTGACCGCCGGTAAGCTCGAACTGGCTCCGATATTCGACACAACGCTAGACATACTGGGCAATTGTACGTCGCCATCGATCGTTAAATTCGAGTACGTGTGATCGTTGGTCGCTTGCGACGCGTCGCCGACGCGGGAATCGCAATTCTGGCAACGCGACGTCAGCCGGGCGTAGAGACCGTCTAGCATCTCGTTCAGCTTGAGACATTGCATCCGTCGTAATTCAGCGTCGCTCGGCAACAGACTCGAGAGACTCATGTTGGTCGTGCTCTCCTCGACGTTACGAGGATTGCCAGACGACGACGTTGCCTCGTGGTTTCTCTCGTGGCTGGTTATTCCTCTCGAGGTGGACGGTTGACTCGGATCGTACGATCTCGCGTCATGATCTGCCGCGCTACTTTCCCTTTGATAATTCTCCAGGAGAGTTTTCTTGAAGTTCCTCGCAGATTCGCTCGGCGAATTTGCAGCCGACGTAGACGGGCCGGGATTGCTGGTGACGTTATCCCTCTGCGCTTCCGTCTGATCGCCGTTTTGTCTTTCCACGCGAACTGTCACGTGCAACGATCGTATCTGTCGTTGCAGATCTTCCCACATTTTTCGAACTTGGCACAATTGAACAATTTCCAAGCGTGCTCTGTCAAAGAATTGAGAAAACTGTTATTTCCGGTTGATGTGCGAGAAACAACAAGAACAGTGAAAAATATATGGTAATTGCATTTTTAGACACTTTTGAATACAATTTTTTGGATACGTTTTTTAATGTTAATCCAAGATCAAATATAATATGAACAAAGTTGTAATAATTTGGGTTTTCCTAAATTCTGATAAATAAAAACCTTCAAGAAAAAAAAACAAACAATTATTTTGAGTCTTAGAATCTCGCAGTGTGCATCGTTATGTTGTTAACTCACCGGCACAAGCGTTGCATGTTGTCAATATGACGATTGAGTAGTTGAATCCCTTGCCGAACTCCCAACGAGCTCTCTCTCGGATCTACGTTGCCAGCATCGAGTATTATCGTGTCTGTGTCGCTAGAATCGAAATTCGTGTCGTCCGTATTACGCTGGTGGTCTTGGTTTTGCTGCTGTTGCCTGTCGCCTGATGTCGACTCGTTCTCACGATTAGCGTCATTTGCAATTCTCGTTGCAACAGCATCGTCGACGCTCTCCGTTAATGTCGTATTCGCTACGTGTGAACCAGAGACTTGCGACTGAAACGGAGCGCTGTTTGGATCCGAATTGTCAGTGTTACACATTTGATTCTGCCCTGCTCTTTGAGATTGGTTCTCGCGTAAGCTTCTGAACGGGAACAACGGCGGTTGTTCGTAACGAGCAGAATTCGCAGACACAGGCGACAATTGATTCCTTCGATCTCTGTGTCTATCACTGACATTCTGATCCGCATCCTCCGAAAGAGATCTCGATCGAATTTGTTCGTCCGTTAAATCGTTAACATACTCTGAGTTTCTGGTGGAAGTATCTAACGGTATCCATCGACTTGTCCATCGACGAGAACTCGAATTAGTGTTGGGGTTAGCATCGTCCAAGTTCGAGTCTGAATTACTGTTCTCCTCGAGCAGCCAATATCCGTTCTCCGAATCATCTAATGATACTTGTTGCGTGGTGTTATTACTTTCCGCCCGATCTGCATGGAAATTTCGTTGGAGAACACCTAGCACTCTCCTGAGTAGGGGTGAATTTCTAAATGTTAAAAATTTCGAGTATACATATAAACAGATAGAAATCTTTAAAAAAACACAACAAAATGTATGATTATCTAATTAAAAAATAAAAATGACTTACGACCAAAAATGATTTCTATGAAAGAAAAATTAATTTTACATACGGATTGTATGTTTAGGGCTTTGTTAAACTCTGAATTTAAATCTGCAACCTAAATTCTGGAATTCTAAATTATGAAACCAATGTAATTTTTCAAGAAATTTCAAGAATCTTTACTTTGAAAATTAAGATGTAAATTTTGTTTTCAAAAAACAGAAAAAAATTTAAGATAAAATATAATTAAATTATAAATAAAGACTTGATTTAAATTGGATAGCAAACTAAAATTTTAGAAAAAATTTATTCTGTTTTGAATAGTAATATTCTTTTCTATTTCAAAATTATTTAATGTCAGATTTGAACTGAAAGATTATAAAAACTCTTAGATATTAAGTTTTATGAAAATAAAATATCTTTTCAAGTTCGAATCTTTATATTAAGTCTGCTACATTGAATTCGAAAAGTTTGATCAGAGATTTAAATTCAGTGATTCCAAAACCTACATATGAATACTACATTTCGCAAAAATTCCATAAGTGAAAAAATATTTTTAAATTATGCATATATGCCTCACATTAACACCGGCGATCAATTATCAAATAATGCATAACATGTATAATTAAAAAAAAAAACGCATTTTGATAAAATAAAATAAAAGTTTGAAAGTATTTTTAATAAAGTATAAGTATTTACCTTTGCCTATTAAATTCTTGAGGTCTCTCTTGTGCGTCTCGCGTAACCCTTGATGTTCTATTTTGGATATTATCTTCATTTGATTCATCATTCAAATTATCAGATGGACTGTTTCCACCAGCTTCGTTCAATCTAGAAGAACTGGCTGTTGTTTCTTGATTTTGCGAGTTTGCACGTTGCATAACAGATTTAGATACGTTCGGTTGAAATGCTGAGTGAGTTGAAACCGTAAAGTTAGACACACTGCTACGTGATGTCGATGCTTGCGAATGGCTTTCGTCGCTTGAAGATGAACTGTCTCCTGAAATAATAAATAAATTTATAGCCGGCAAATTAATATTACGTTCACACTAATGTTATAATCATTTTAAAACAAAAAATACATAAAATTAGAAAATGTTTCCAACATTTTGTAGAGTTAGAAAAGAAATTTTAAAATACTAAAATTTTAAAAATTTCCACTTTGTTCCAACAAGTTTTAAAAATTATAATTTAAGATATGTAAAAAAATTGTGTTTTTTAAGTATTTAAGATTCTTGTTTTCTCATTGTAGCTATATTGAATTGATAAATCCAAAATTTTTTTATTTTTCTACATTAGTAAATACGCACGTACGATAGAATCCGACTTATATCTCTAGCAAAAATGGATTTCATAAATTACACTTGAGATCTACAACCACCTTTTTCAATGAAAACTGAAACGAGACTCTTCGATAAATCTATATTATTGAATTATAAAAAGAATTAACAAATTTTCCTGCTCCTGACGTCACAATTGAATACAAATGAGGAACCAAGAGCTTTCACAATTGTTTATATTCAAAAAAATATAATTGCAAAATAACCCTAATAGTCTCAATTTACGCTTTCAAGAAGAAGTATTACCAATAGAATGAGATAACACCACGTGCGATCCTGATTTACGCATTCGCCGCCTCGGTGGTTCGTCCTCAGTGTTCGTAGTACTGAATCGTCTTCTCGTGGCTCTCCCGCTTCTCGGTAATGTATTCGTGTTTTCACTATGATCCACCGTTGTCCACCCAAGGTATGTCGCCTCTCCATTCTCTCCGGCAGAACTTGTGCTGGGAAACACATTGAGTTCCGAATGCGATCTATTTGACGGTCTCGATGGCGTCCCGGAACTGGTACTGGGCAATTGTCCATCATTTGGAATAAGCCCCCGCCATTCCGCCTCGCTTAAGTTCACCTGCGAAGGCTCTGTCGCGACGTGACGATTTCGCGACAGAATACCGTACATCGTAAACTCATCTCGCAGCCGCTCGATTCTAGAGCTTGTGTTAGTGAATTGCGCCTCCATGTTGTTGAGCGCTTCGATTTCATCATTCAAAGCGTTACGCAGCAACTGAAGACGGGAGTTGGAACGCTCAAATAAAGTCGCGGTCTGCCGTTGCAATCTCTCTCGCAGTTTCTGTAACCGCATCAAGCACGAACTATTATTCTCGGCGGCAGCGTTCAAAGCTTCCCTCAAATTCTGCAGGGTGGTTCCAATCTCCTCTTGCTCGGAACGTTCGAGTAACAGGCGCTGACACCGTTGCAGTCTCTCGAGGTTCGTGCTGTTCGCCTGTGCGCTAGAATTCAGTTCGTTTCTTAATCTCCATATAGACAATTCATTCGCCACTGATTCGTTTCGGTTATTAGATTCTTCGGAATTAACGGATGACGCTTCCGGCATATCCATAGGGTCTGTACCACGATCGATCTTTAAACGAAATCGATAATTTTTTATACAACATGAGTTTAAAAAAAAGAATTTTTGGCACGGATGGAAAATTCGTGAGTCATCGTTTATTCATTATATTTTGGTTCTTAAATAGATAAATTATTTTTATAACATTTAAAGCAAATTCATTTAATTTTTCAAAGAAATATAAATTTAATTGTGAACAAATTGTAATAAATGTAAATTAAAAAACTAAAAAAAAAACTTACGCATTTAATCATAAAAATTATTAAAAGTTTTACATATACAGGGTGTCTGTCATAAGGTGTCTCACCGAAAAGATACAAGTAGATCTCGTTATTCTGAATAAAAAAGCTCTATATCATTTTGCAAACAACCACGTAAAATTTTGAGTAATTAATTAAAAAAGATTGACCAATTAAGCGCGCGATCGGACAGTGGACTGATCGTAGCGGCGGTGGCGGTAACGCGCGTCGTTGTTAACACAGCGCGCGCGAGACGAAAAGTTATTGTTTATGCGTCGCCTTTTTGTGCCGTCTTCCGCCCGATTCGTCGCGAGTAACAGTCGCGCGTTTCGGCAGGCGATGGCCGGGCCGTACGTTCAAATGTGTCAAATGGTATAGAACTTTTTGTTCAGAATAACGAGATCTACTTGTATCTTTCGGTGAGACACCTTATGACAGACACCCTGTATATATTCTTAGATACATAATATATTAAACAAATTTGTTTACCAAT